CGTTTAGGTATGTGTCTTGTATCCCTGATCTCTCCAATACTTTAAACATGAATGGATGTTGGATTTTGTCAAATGCTTTTTCAGCATCTAGGGAGATTATCATGTGGTTTTTTTTCTTTCAGTTTGTTAATATGGTGGATCACATTGATGGATTTCCGTATATTGTACCACCCCTGCATACCTGGGATGAAGCCTAATTGGTTATGGTGGATAATATTTTTGATGTGTTCTTGTATTCGGTTTGCGAGTATTTTGTTGAGTATTTTTGCATCAATGTTCATAAGGGAGATTGGCCTGAAATTCTCTTTCTTTGTTGAATCTTTCTTTGTGAGGTTTAGGTACCAAGGTGACTGTGGCTTCATAGAATGAGTTTGGTAATGTCCCTCTGTTTCTATTTTGTGGAATAGTTTGAAGAGAATTGGTGTTAGCTCTTCTTTGAAGGTGTGGTAGAATTCTGTGCTGAAGCCATCTGGTCCTGGGCTCTTTTTGGTTGGGAGACTTTTGATGACCGCTTCTATTTCTTTGGGGGATATAGGACTATTTAATTGAGTTACCTGGTCCTGATTCAGCTTTGGTAAGTCAAATCGATCAAGAAAATTGTCCATTTCGTTTAGATTTTCAAATTTAGTGCCATATAGACTTTTGAAGTAAGTCCTAATGATTGTTTGGATTTCCTCAGTGTCTGTGGTTATGTCCCCCTTTTCATTTCTGATTTTGTTGATTTGGGTGGTGTCTCTCTGCCTTTTAGTTAGCTTGGCTAAGGGTTTGTCGATCTTGTTGATTTTCTCAAAGAACCAGCTCTTGGTTTCATTGATTCTTGGAATTGTTTTATTTGTTTCTAATTTATTGATTTCAGCCCTGAGTTTGATTATTTCCAGCCGTCTACTCCTTTTTGGTGTGTCTGCTTCTTCTTTTTCTAGGGTTTTTAAGTTGCTTGAATGAGCTGTCTGGAATTTCTTCTTGAAGGTACTTAGTGCTATGAACTTTCCTCTTAGCACTGCCTTCATTGTGTTCCACAAGTTTGGGTATGTTGTGTCTTCATTTTCATTGAGTTCTAGGAAGATTTTAATTTCTTCTTTATTTCTTCCCTGACCCAGCTGTCTTTTAATAGCAAGTTGTTCAGTTTCCATGTATGTGTAGGCTTTTTGCTATTTCTGTTGTTATTGAGGTCCAGCTTTATTCCATGATGATCAGACAGGATACAAGGGATTATTTCAATCTTCTTGTATCTGTTGAGGCTTGCTTTGTGACCAACTATATGGTCTATTTTGGAGAAGGTTCCATGAGGTGCTGAGAAGAAGGTAAGTTCTTTTGTGTTTGGGTGTAAGGTTCTGTAAATGTCTGTTAGGTCCATTTGATGCATGACCTCTGTTAGAGATATTGTTTCTTTGTTTAATTTCTGTTTAGTTGACCGGTCCTTTGTTGAGAGTGGGGTGTTGAAGTCTCCCACTATTAGTGTGTGGGGATCTATGTGTGGTTTAAGTTTTATCAGTGTTTCTTTCACAAATGTGGGTGCTCTTGTATTTGGGGCATAGATGTTCAGGATTGTGATGTCTTCTTGGTGGAATTTTCCCTTGATGAGTATGAAGTGTCCTTCTTGACCTCTTTTGATTAATTTTGGTTGAAAGTCTATTTTATCAGATATTAGAATGGCTACTCCTGCTTGCTTCTTGGGTCCATTTGCTTGGAAAGCCGTCTTCCATTCCTTTACCCTCAGGTAATGTCTATCTTTGTGACTTAGGTGTGTTTCTCGTATACAACAGATTGCTGGGTTTTTTTTACGCATCCATTCTGTTAATCTGTGTCTTTTTCCTGGAGAGTTGAGTCCATTGATGTTGAGAGAGATTAATGACCAGTGGCTGTTAGATCCTTTGAATTTGATGTTGGCTGTGGTCATACGGTTGTGTGCTTGGTAGTGGGGTTTTTATTTTACTGTAGTGGGGTTTTTGTTTTACTGTAGTGGGGTTATTTATTTCCTGTGTTTTCTTGAATGTAGCTAGTTTTCTTGGGTTGTATTTTCCCTTCTAGTGTCTTCTGTAATGCTGGATTTTTTTGCAGGTATTTTTGAAATTTGTTTTTGTCATTGAATATCTTGTTTTCTCCGTCTATAAGGACTGAGAGTTTTGCTGGGAATAGTAGCCTGGGCTGTCCTCTGTGTTTTCTTCTGGTCTGCATGATATCCGTCCAGGCCCTTCTGGCTTTCATAGTCTCTGTTGAAAAGTCAGGTGTGATTCTAATGGGTTTGCCATTATATGTTACTTTGCCTTTTTCCCTTGCAGCTTTTAGTATTTTTTCTTTGTTCTGTATACTTACTGTTTTGATTATTATGTGGCGGGAGGGTTTTCTTTTCTGGTCTAATTTATTGGGTGTTTTATAGGCCTCTTGTATTCATATTGGCCTCTCCTTTAACTTGGGGAAATTTTCTTCAATGATTTTGTTGAAAATATTTTCTGGGCCTTGGTGCAGGGAATCTTCTTTTTCCTCTACTCCTATTATTCTTAGGTTTTGTCTTTTTATGTTGTCTTGAATTTCTTGGATGGTCTGTGTCAGGATTTTTTTAAACTTAACATTTTCTTTGACAGATACATCTATTTCTTCCATTGTATCTTCCACACCTGAGATTCTTTTTTCCATTTCTTGTAGCCTATTGGTTATGCTAACCTCTGTAGTTCCTGCTTTCTTCCCTAAGTTCTTTCTCTCCACAATTTCTTCCATTTGTGTTTTTTTTTTTTAATTTTTCCAATTCTATCGTTAGGTCTTGAGCTATTTTGTTGGTTTCCTTCACCTGTCTGACTGTATTTTCATGTTTTTCCGTCAATTCCTTCAGCTGTTTGTTTGAACAATCCACTGTTTCTTTTATTTCATTCAGTGATTTAAGCATTTCCTTTCTAAAGGCCACAAACTGTTTGGCTGCAGCTTCCTCTATTTCTTTTCATATTTTATTTGTTTACTCTGTTATCTTCTTCATTAGCATAGATGTTAGGTCATCTCCTTGAATTTCAATTATACTGGGGTGTCTAGGGCTATTTGCCCCTGGATAACTGGGTTCTGGAGATGCCATATTGCTCTGGCTTTGTTGGTTGAACTTTTACGCTGTCCTCTAACCATTGGGCTATCTTAGCTGTTTGAAGTTAGTTTCTGGTTGTTCCTGGACTCTTGTAGTGGAGAGAATCCCTTTGGCAGGAAGATGGTTTTTCCTGAAGGAAGCCTTCTCAGCTTTTTGGGTATAGTCACTGGATGTCCGGTGTTTTTCAGGAGTTGCTACAGCTCACCTCAGGCATAGAGACCTGGGTGGTAACTGTGGTCCTGATTAGTTGAGAGGGCTCTCCTCTCACCAGGAGAAGTCCTGGAGACAGCTGCCCTTCTTCTGGGTTTCTTGCTGTAAATTTAGTGATCAGCTGCTGTAACCTGTGTGTCCCGTGGTTTGGTAGGTTTTGTTAGGGATAACTGGTTGCCCCTTGGAGCAGTATCTGGGGGTTGATCTCAGGGTTCCCGGTCCTTTGTAGGTCTGAGGTTCGGGCTCTGTGCCCCAGAACCCAAGAGGTAATCTGTGGCAGGTGAGTACTGCTCTCCTGGTAACAGCAGGCTATCTGGTGCACAGCAGTTCCCTGGGTTGGGTCAGTCTGTGGGACCTTTTCCGGGGAAATACTGGGTTGCCTAAGTCCATCCCCTTTGCTTTGTTCCTTGTTCCTTGTGAGGGTTTCTCCAGACAGTGACTCTAAGACTCTGGTGTCTTGGGGCACACAGTTCTGTCTGTAAGGAGTAGTTGGTACAAAGCAGGCCTCTGGGCTGGCGGAGCGTGCGCCCCCCTGCTAGCCTGGGTGAGCTGGGTTCCCAGTAACTCTCTGCTCCCTGCTTGGGCCCGGATCTGTGATGGCTGGGTGTAGTCGCCTGTTTGCGATCTGCGGTCTGCTAGACTTTCCCCAGGCAAAACCTAGGTGACCCCAGCAGCACGGTTTCTTCCTTCCCTGTGGGGTCCTCTCCGGACAGGGATTCGCAGTCTCCGTTGCACTGGGGCGCGCAACTCTCCGCGAGGCGGGAGCTCAGTTATGATGGCAGCAGGTACCGGCGGTCCTCGAGACCTTCCAGGGAAAGACTGGGTGATCCGTGATCAGACTCTCAACTTTGCTTCCCCGTGGGGTTTTCTTGCGACTGGGACTCCCAGTCTCAGGCACCCTTGTGCCCACCAATCAGCTTGGGAAAGTGATCGGGACACGCAGGCTTGCGGCTCCAGCCCGGAGACCCAAAGCCCGCCTTACCCGGGATTTCTTCTGGGTTCTGGCTGGGCAGCCGAGAGTGGACCCGACCGATTCCCACGCCGTGGGAGCCTCCCCTTACCTGGGAAACACGGTAGCTGTAGTTTTAGGGCCCAGTTCAGTCTCCTGGTTGCTGCATGGAGAGTGCTGTCCCTCTTCTCAGACACAGTGCTCTCCCGGCGCGGCCATCTTTGCTCCCCTCCCTAATAATTATTTTTAAGTATATTTCTACTTATAAAAATTTACTGCAAAAATGTAAGCCATGTTTTCTGATTATCTAATTTTCTCGTGTTGTGTTCATTATGGGCATAGTAGAAATTGGTGCATGTTGTCCACATTATAGGCTCTGCTATTTTGGTTTGTTGGAATATACGATGTTCTTGTTGTGATGAAATTACCTAAAATATTTCTTAGAATCTATCCCCTTTATTAAGTGAGATATTATGTAATTAATGATATCTAAATTACTATATATTGTTGAGTGAAAGGAATACAGTCCCTAACAATATTCATGAAGTAGAGTGTGCATGAAATGCTGTCTTGTATGCTTGAAGGAGAGAATGAATATATATTCATGTTTGAATGACAGTCTCACTGAAACTAATTTTGAAAAAGTTTATACTGGAGTATGGTGCTAGGTATACCAGGAACATCACTTGGAAGGGTTATTATTATATTGCTTATTACTTTTTTTGGTAAAAGCTTTTAAGGAAAGCATTTTCTTTTCTTTTTAAATTTTATTAGTAAGCTAAAAAAGCTGAGTGAAGACAGTTTGACTAAGCAGCCTGAAGAAGTATTTGATGTACTGGAGAAGCTTGGAGAAGGGTGAGTACAAACACCATGAAAGTGTCTTTTAGAATGACAGTATTGTCTAGTCTTTCAACTAGAATATGTTTGTTGGAGTTGAATAGTACTAATAACAATTAAATCTGACAATTAATGTCAAAACTTAATGATCAGATTATGATGAATATGGATGACAACACTTTTATTTAAAAAAGTAAGCTTTCCCTCTGTGAAGGAAAAAATGTGCTATAAAGTGATTTGTAAGTTTTGTTCACTTTACACCGCACTCTCATTGATAAACCTCACAATCTTTTTTTAGGCTAGTAGCTGTGAATATGTTTTAGCACCCCAGTACCCATTATATTTGGGAAAAGGCCAGTAGAAGCTTTGAATTGATTATCTTGAGGAAATCAATATGTATATTCAGAGGAATTCTTAACAATTGGTAAGAAATGTTTTAAAGTAATAGAGGGATGTATGTCATTTGATCATAGAGGAAGGCAGATAATAAGTATAAAATGATTAAATTTACAAGAACATATTATATGTAACATTTCAAACATAAGGTGGAAGTATGAAATGAAATCTATTGCTCACTAAATGTGAGTTGTCACATTAAAAGATGAACTCTTTAGAGAAAATTAAAAGTAAACTAGCCAAAAGTAAACAGTCAGTATGTTTCCTCTTAAAAAATAGATCCATACTTATCACCCTGCACAAAACTGAAGTCCAAGTAGATCAAAGACCTCAACATAAAACCAGACACACTAAACTGCTTAGAAGAAAAAGTGGGAAAGAGCCTTGAACTCATTGGCACAGGAGACAACGTCCTGAACAGAATACCAACAGCACAGGCTCTAAGAGCAACAATCAATAAATGGGACCTCATGAAACTGAAAAGCTTCTGTAAAGCAAAGGACAGTGTCCTCAGCACAAATTGACAGCCTACAGATTGGGAAAGGATCTTCACTAACCCTATATTGGACAGAGGGCTAATATCCAGTATATATAAACAACTAAAGAAGTTAAACAGCAAAAATCAAGTAATCCAATTAAAAAATGGGGTACAGAGTTAAACAGAGAATTCTCTGCAGAGGAATATAGAATGGCAAAGCAACACTTAAAGAAATGCTCAACCTCATTAGCCATCAGGGAAATGCAAATCAAAACGACCCTAAGATTTCACCTTACACCCATCAGAATGGCTAAGATCAAAAACTCAAGAGACAACACATGCTGGAGAGGTTGTGGAGAAAGAGGAACCCTCCTCCACTGCTGGTGGGAATGTAAACTTGTGCAACCACTCTGGAAAGCAATATGCACTTTCTCAGACAACTAGGAATAGCGCTTCCTCAAGATCCAGCCATACCACTCCTAGGCATATACCCAAAAGATTCTCAAGTACACAATAAGGACATTTGCTCAACCATGTTTGTAGCAGCTTTATTTGTAATAGCCAGAAGCTGAAAACAGCCCAGATGCCCCTCAGTGGAGGAATGGATGCAGAAATTGTGGTGTATCTATACAATGGAATATTACTCAGCAATAAAAAACAAGGAAATCATGAAATTTGCAGGTAAATGGTGGGATCTGGAAAAGATCATCCTGACTGAGCTGTCCCAGAAGCAGAAAGACGCACACGGTATATACTCACTCATATAGATACACAATATAGGATAAACCTACTAAAATCTGTACACCTAAAGAAACTAATCAAGAGGGTGGACCCTTGCTAAAATGCTCAAGTCCTATCCAGAAAGGCAAAGAGGATAGACATCAGAAGAAGGAGGAAAGAGGGAACAAGTCAGGAGCCTGACACAGAGGACCTCTGAAAGGCTCTGCCCTGCAGACTGTCAATGCAGATTTTTATACTTATGGCCAACCTTTGGGCAGAGTGCAGGCAATCTTAGGAAAGAAGTGGGAAACAGTAAGATCTGGAGAGGATAGGAACTCCATAAGGAGAGCAACAGAATCAAATATCTGAGCACAGGGGTCTTTCCTGAGACTGATATCCAACCAAGGACTATGCATGGAGATAACCTAAGACCCCTGCACAGATGTAGCCCATGACAGTTCAGTATCCAAGTGTGTTCCATTGTAATAGGAACAGGGACTGTCTCTGACATGAACTGATTGGCCTGCTCTTTAATTAACTCCCCCTGAGGGGGAAGCAGCCCTACCAGGCCACAGAAGACAATGCAGCTACTCCTGATGAGACCTAATTGACTAGGATCAGAAGGAATGAAAAGAAGACCTCCCCTATCAGTGGACTTGGGGAGGGGCATGCATGCAGAGGGTGGAGGAAAGGAGGGATTGGGACGGGAGGAGGGAAGAACCACATGGGGGATACAAAGTGAATAAAGTGTAATTAATAAAGAAAAGAAAAGAAAAGAAAAAGTTAAACATATGAGTAAAAATAAAGAGAAAACAGAAGAGGCAATGTTTATATTAGTTAAACTAAAGTTAAAAGATCCCGAGGTTGGCAAGATGGCGGCTCCAGGACAACTCTAGTTCTGACCAGCAGCACAGCAGGATGGGCACAGCGATCAGCAGTCAGAACTCATGATCCTAAAACACAAGTGATTGTGTTTCCCAGGTGAGAGGATACCCCACGGTGGGGGATTCAATCAGCTTTAACTCACCCAGCTAACCCTCTGATGAGATCCTGGTTACACCAGGTTCTTGGTCGCCAGCCCAGAGCCACATGCCAGAGTGCTCTGATCACTGTTTCACACTGAACTGTGGGCATCACAACATCAGAGATTTCCAGTTGAGAGATAACCGCATGGTGCAGGAAGCGATTGGGACCGACCTTAGGTCACCCAGACATTCACTGGAAAAGACTCGGGGTTCCATGGGTGCCCAGGAGCCAGCCCAGAGCCAGAGCCGGGGACCTAGGCACTGGCACAGAGTCCTGGCTGCACGCCTTATTCGCTGCCCCAGATAGAACTGTGGGCCCCAGAACACCAGAGACTGAGTTTCTCTGTCCAGTGCAAACCCACAGGAAGGGGAACGGCTGGTCTGGTCTCAGAGCACTCAGCCAATACCACCACCCGGAAAAGGTCTTGGGAAAAATTACCCAGTTTCGGCAGACACCCAGGCACCCAATCCCCAGAAAGACAGAAAGGCAGAGTCACGTAAGTCTGTGCCATCACAGACAGAACAGCTGTCCCCAAAGCAAAGACTGGGTGTCTCTGTCAGGAGAAAACCCCAGAGCAGGGGGATCATCAGGTCTAACGCTCAGGACACACAACTCCAAAAGACTTTCTGGATTCACGCAGACTCTAGGCTCTAGCCTTCTACTGCAGGCATGAGCACTGTGCTCTCCCGCCATTATCGAGTACCGCTAGGGCACTGGGGCACACAGCTGCATCCTCAGACCTGCAAAAGTCAGAGAGCCATTACAGCAGCCCTCAGATACTGCTCCAAGAATCAACCAGTTATCCCTAGCTAAACTGACAAAACTGTGGGAATCCCTAGTTCTTCAAGAGGGCTGTACCCAACAATTACACCTTAAGAGCAACAGCTGCTGCTCACTAAATTCAGAGCAAGAAACCCAGTAGCAGGGCAGCCATCACCAGGACCTCTCCTGATGAGAGGAGAGCCTTTCTGAACACCACAGTTACCACACCGGTCCATACACCTGAAGTGAACTGTGACAATTCCTGAGAAGAACCACCAATCAGTTGACTATACCCAAAAAGCAGAGGAGAACTTCAGAACCCTGCCAAGTGGATTCTATCCACCCCAGGACCAGCAGGCACCAGAAATTAACAGACAACACCTGAGATAGAGAGATGGGTAGAAGCCAGCGAAAAAGCACAACCAACAAAAGGCAAAGCAATACAGCATCCCCAGAACCCAGTTATCCAAGGGCAAGTAGCCCTGGACACCCTAACATAAGTGAAAGTCAAGAAGATGACCTTACATCTATGCTTATGGAGAGGTTAATGGAGGAAGCAAATAAAATGCGTAAAGAATTAGGGGAAGATATAATAAAACAGCTTATGGGCATCTGTAAAGAAATACAGGAAGATGCAGCCAAACAGTTTCTGGCTTTCAGAGAGGAAATGATTAAATCACTGAAAGAAGTAAAAGAAAGAGAGGAACGTTCAAACAAACAAGTGAAGGAATTCAGGAGAAAAGGTGAAAATACATTCACACAGGTGAAGGAAATCAACAAAACGTTAAAGATCTGAAGATAGAATTGGAAAAATTAAAGAAAACACAAACGGACAAAATCATGGAGAGGGAGAACCTAGGAAAGAAAAAAGGAATTACAGAGGTAAACATAACCAACAGACTACAAGAGATGGAAGAAAGTATCTCAGGTGTGGAAGATACAATGGAAGAAATTGATGTATCTGTCAAAGAAAATAATAAATCTAAAAAATTCCTGACACAGACCATCCAAGAAATCCAAGACAACATAAAAAGACAAAACCTAAAAATAATAGGAATAGAGGAAAAAGTAGATTCCCTCCTCTAAGGCCCAGAAAATATTTTCAACAAAATCATTGAAGAAAATTTCCCCAACTTAAAGGGGAGGCCTATAAGAATACAAGAGGCTACAGAACACCTAATAAATTAGACCAGAAAAGAAAATCCTCCCGTCACATAATAATCAAAATAGTAAGTATACAGAACAAAGAAAAAAAAATACTAAAAGCTGCAAGGGAAAAAGGCCAAGTAACATATAATGGCAAACCCATCAGAATCATACCTGACTTCTCAATAGAAACTATAAAAGCCAGAAGAGCCTGGACGAATATCATGCAGACCCTAAGAGAACACAGATGTCAGCCTAGGCTACTGTACCCAGCAAAACTCTCAGTCCTTACAGATGGAGAAATCAAGATATTCAACGACAAAAACCAATTTCAACAATACCTACATACAAATCCAGCGTTACAGAAGATACTAGAAGGAAAAATACAACCCAAGAAAACTAGCTACATTCAAGAAAACACAGGAAATAAATAACCTCACTACAGCAAAACAAAAAGTAGCCAAACATACAAACACACTACCATAGCCAA